GAGACGAGTGCCAAATTCCCCCTGAGCTGTGACAAATTCAACCAGTGCACCAAATATATAATGTTCTGGGTTTTATTTAAGCAAACTAAAAATGGGTCTAAGATGCAAAATCTCTTTCTAGATTTGCACTTCCTCAAAGTTCAGGCAATGTGCAGATCCAGGGTGTGATCCAGCTCTAAAATAAGCATATAAAAAGCTATTTCTGTAAAAACAGTAACATGCTTCTAAATATTACAGGTGACAAGCAACCTAAAATGTGCTTTTTACTCTACTTAACACAAAACAGGGAATGAGTCTTTTGCTTATTAAATAAAGCAAATAAAAAGAATGTGCTCTTTTCTGAAAGCTTTGGTCTACAGGCATGTGTGGGTGGGTGTATGTGTGCGCGCCCAATCCGCATGTGCATATGTGTTATGTGCATGTCCAACAATTTGTAGAGAACTCTTTATCAGTGATTTAGCCCTTTTGCTCTGGCAAGGAAAGGATTAATACTTCAACAGCAACTTTTTAAAAATTCATTGTCATGGCTATTTAAATAAATACAGAAAAGTATGACACTGATCAAAGTCTTCTGGTTATTCACAGAACGCTTTGGAGAATCTGAAGTTTATTCCTGCTACCCTACCAATTTGTTGTGATCCTGACCGGGCAGGTCAAGAGTTTATATTTCACACCTGTTCAACACACACTCTCCACAAGTGTGGAGGTACTTCTTTAAACTTCATGGGAAAGCCCATGGCAGCCTTCCCTTAATTTCTGACAAAATTATGAAGCCAGTTAAGTAATGTATGTCAATAACTTCAGAGTAGGTAGAGTCCTTACCTTGGATAAATATTTCCAAAGAATTGTCCTAACAGCTGAACTCTTGCAAGATAGCCCAGCAATGGATACACAGTCATCATCTGGAACAGCAGGAACATTCTTGCAACAAATGACATGATGTCATTGCTCGGGAAATTGTCTAAAAAATTCTAACATAAAGAAAGTTTAAAGAAACAGTGCTGATAACAGCTGGGGGGTGGATAGAGAGAAGGGGTAATAAGCAAACAAGTGTAAGAAGACTCTTCCAAGTCAATTAGGTAAACTGAAATCATCTTCCTTCTTGTACAACTGGTATGCAATAACATACAAACCTAAATATTGTGATAGGAACGGCTGGTGATCCCATCCCTAAATCGGCCTCACCAGGTAACATTTAATTTTCTATATCCAGCCATTCCTGAGAACTCAGGAATATGGAAGTGGCATGTAATTTTATCTGGCAAGGACTTTCTGTCTTTACATGAATTCATTATGACTACTGATAACCTTTCAGAAAACTGTAATGGCTCCAGGTTTTATCTGATTCTCTCTCTCAACCTTAAAAATAATGATATTCTAGCAGATCTAAGGTGACAAATAACACACACAAACAGCTTTTGGTACCAGTGAAAGAGTAAATAATTCCTTCCTCCCTATGAAAGCTCACAAGACTTTCTGCCCATTTTCTGGAATGGAAACTGTCATGAGAGAGACATTTTTGTAATTATGTTATAGTCATTCCAACTGAATTCTATAGCAATAAGGAATCAATTCTACAAAATTGAGACAAGTGTTAAATATAGTGAATTTTATATGGCTCAAATGCCACAGAAATGTGAGAAGTCCTGTAACCATGTAACTACTAACAGTATAAATCAGAGACAAAAAATGCTTGCCGGCTATTATTTAATCATGGCTTTTCCAGCCAATAAAATGCTTTCAGGCAAGTTATAGAAGAGCTTCATAATTAAAAACCACCTTCAGTCTTCATCTAACTTGTCAACACATCCTTTCATATGCTGTTTCACTGCTACACTCTCTACAAGACACTTAGCACTTAACGAAATCTTGCATTAAATACTTCATGAAAAGAGACAACCGCTATATTTAAAGTACATTAAAAGAAAGGGATTAAGGGTGCCAACTGGGTATGAAGGCCTTCCTGCCAGGATTATTTATTTATATTGAACTAGTATTCAATGGATCCATTTTGCAATCAAGACCCCTCACAGTGCTAAGCACTGCATATGTAGATAGCAATGGCCCCTGTAGTCTAAGACACGAATTGGTACATGCTTAGCTTTAAGTGTCATTGAGTAGCCCTATAAATTTACTACGATTACTTGTTGTATAGATTAAGGTTTTTCAAGATAAAATCCTAAGGATGCTTGAATTGTTCAGGTTACAGTTCACCGGTTTTGAGATAAGTCAACCAGCCTAGTACAACCACCCCCAAGAATGTCTAAAAATCCAGCCAACTCAAGTTTGATGTTGACGTTATTTTTGGTTCTCCCAGTCAAAACAGTTAATTTTGTTATTATTTGTTTTAATACCTGCCCTTAGAGAATTACTGGTAGGTAGGCAGGCACGATGGAAAATGCTGCCATCATTTTTCAATAATTTATGGGAGCTGCCCATGAGGTGCTAGTCACTTTCAACGGATTGAAAAGACAGACAGACTTCAGTTCCAAGAAGTCCACATCAAAGCTAGTTGGAGAGAAGTTGGGGAAAAGAAACAGTAAATAGTAGAGCTTTTCTACACATTAAATTAAGGCTCAGGGTTGAAAGTACAGTGCAGTAAGATATCTTTCCTTACCTGCTCAATACACTCTTTGAATAATGGTGGAGAAGGAAATGTTGCAAAAATTAACACTCCAACATAGAGATATGTCAACCCTACGAGGAAATAAGCAATGGAAAGGTCTCTCACCTGCCAAAACAAAACGTTTTCTTTTTATTTCAGCATTAAAATATAGAGCAGATAGTCTAAATTTATACAGCCAGTTGGTTAACAGTATACTAAACACACTATATCAGGTTGGTTTATTTGAAGAGTTATACAGCTTCTACATATAAGCATTTTAGATTATGGCCAAGATTTTCAGAAGTGGGTGGTAACGTTAGGCTCTTAAATCCATATTTAGGTGCCTAGAGTATAATTGGATTCAGAAACCTAACATTACCACTCACTTTTGAAAATCTTGGCCTAAATTTAGAACACGTAATACATTAAAAATGGATGATACCTCTACATAATTATTAAAGATCACAGAACAATTAACAATAATGCGAAAATACTCAAAGCTTTGGAAATAGTTTTCTGACCTGCAAACTCACACACAGACACACATTACATTAACTAAAAAGCAACTATGTTTTTAAAAGGTTAACTAGCTTATATCAATCACTTTTTTGGAAGTGAATTATGAAGCCATTTGTTTCTGGTCATTAACTAGCTAGACTCTGTTAATAAAAGTTCAGCGGTGCAGTATGCAGATAATTACCATTTGCTAAACCAATGCTGCTAGTGTTGCTAAACCAGCTACTGCTAGTAATCAGCTTCTTAAAGGATTACCAGAAACATTTCAATACATGACCTTATTTTCCTAGGATTTAGAAGGACATGATCATGATTAACAGATCCGAAAAGTCTGTCCTAATTTTTCTCCTCATACCTGTTCACAAAGTTCATGCATCAGGTATATATTTTTTCCATAAGCACGTACTTCAAATGGTCCTTGTCTTCTTTTGCATCTTATACTCCCATATGAGAATTATTCAACAAGTCAACATGCACGATACTAAAGGATACCTGACTACCTTTCTTAACCATGCATCTGAAACTAACTCTCTCTCCAATTAGCCATTAATGTCTAAGTCTTCTAGCTCTCGTGGACTTCTGATGTAGCTATTTAAATACAGCCAAAAATTAGAAAAGGAACAGGTTGCCTTACATTTAGCAAAAATCTCTCTATAACTTAAATTTTCAAATCCCAGTGTTTAAAGTGATAGTACATGATACATGTGTGGAGTCACACATTAAAATAAAGTTACCTATATTAGTGCCCAGATACTTATTACAATGGTAATCCTGGCAATTATAGAAACCAGATACACCACAACAATTTGCTTGCTCATGTATACTTACAGCATGTAATTTATGCCCCACTGTTTGAAATGTACTGACATTTAGTGCTAGACTGCTGCCTAATGGAAAGACAAACAAGGAAGCAGAAGGACAAAAACTAAGGGTTGAACAGAACTTTGTCTACAATGACTAAAGCAGTGGCTCCTAACCTTTTTATACTGCAACCCTAAATCCAGGTTGTGACCCCTGCCCCTGCCTCACTCATACCCGGGATTGCAGGGGGCAGCGGCAGTGACAGCTGTGCAGACCGTGTGCTGGGAGACTCTGCAGGTGGGAGGGGCAGAGTGAGGGGCAGACCCCCTGCGACCCTGATTTGGGTCACACCCCAAGGTTGGGAGCCACTGGACTAAATAAAGGTTTGATCGAGTCACAGAAGTGAACTGAAGGAACCAGCAAGACAACAGAAGACATACTTCTTCATACTAGCAGTTAACTGTTAGCACAAATGTACCAGATACCTGGAGACACCTGAACCATTCAAAATGTCCAGGAAATAGAGCAGAAGACAACTTTAAATGCTACTTCACTATAGAAGGGAATCAAACCAGGAGATTTACTGCCATTTCTCTAAAAATGGCATTCTGGGGTTCTATATTTGGTACGTTCCCACAATATGTGCAGCAAGCATACGAAGGATAAAAAACCCCCAAAAAACTTGTCTTACTTAAGAGAGAGTTTTTCTAGACACCTAAAAGTCTTTTGGCTTGCACATAATCCTATAATAAACATGCTTATAAAACAGAATGTAACTTTGTTGATGCATCAGCCAAATCTAAAGCTTATTTTCATCAGATGATACCGAATAGGCTGCCTGAGAAGATGAGAACATTCTGATATAATTGCTTTTTGAAATACAACCACATTTAAAAAAAAGGCGAGGGATTACTGCATTCCCAACCACAACAGGGGAAGTGAAGCCCTGCAGAAGAACAGTGACTCTGCCAGACTGACCCTCGCTCCAACAGTCACCCATCCTCCTGGATATAATTTTACTATCAAGATGTGGCGGGTGAGTGGGAGGACAAGATGGAGGTCAGTGGACTTCCAGCACAGCAGCGGGACAGAAGTGCACACCCACTTACACAGTCCCTGGCCCAAAGAGTTTACAATCCAAAGAGACAATGGATAAAATGAAGCAGGAGGCCAGGTAGTTGGGAGGGAAGGGAAGGAGAGATGAGATGGAAAGAAATATGAAAAAAAGGCATAAGAATGAAAATTCACAGCTGGTCAGTTGTAGGCATAACTGTATGCCACCTTCTTTGCCCATATTCAGTTGCTATTTAGTGCATGCTTTAAAGAAGAGATGAGTATCAACGATGGATAAGAAGAAAGACGAGACTGTGCCTTTAGAGATTTGGGAGAATTGGGTGACTGAGCATGGCATAGCAAAGACAAAGTGTGGCACCAAATTGGAGAGGTTTTAAAGTATGAGAAGTTATAATGAATAAAAAAATTATTTGCATCAATTAGAAAGTATAAAAACTGATCATTTTAGGTTGATCACACTAAAGGAATCTAAGTGCATCAGTGAACCCGCTGCCTCACAGGCTGGCTTAGCTCGCAATACAAGAATCTCCTTAGCCAGTCCTTTAAAAAGAAAAATACAGCCCTAGCAGCAAAGAAACACAAAGCCCAGCAAACAAAAGCCTTCAGCCCTTCTCTGGCAGTACAAGGGACCATTCAACTTTGGCCCAGCACAGTAGTAAGGCCCCTTCCTAATAGCAAACTTATCTGGGTTCTAATTCACCTCCTGCTTGTAACACAGCTTGCTGACTTCTGCTACTAGCTTAAAACTCCAGAGGAAAGAGCTGGAGTCAGATGATCTACATTTTATGTCTGGTTTTGCCCATATTTTCTGTAAGAAGCTACACCAAACCCTCCCCCCCAAAAAAAACCAAAGAAAGAAAGAAAGAAAGAAAGAAAAAACGTATCAGGCAACTTTTCTGCCTTGCTTTCCTCACTGGTTAAACTGGCTCCCAACCTCGGGGTTAATACAAGGGTGGGCAATTATTTGGGCTGAAGGGCCACTTCACCAGTTTTGATGAGCTGCTCAGGGCCACACATGCACGTGCATATCCACAAGTTCCTGGCAGCCAGACTGAGGCTGGCACCAGAGCAGCAGCAGGAGTGGGAGCATGAGTCTGCCTGGGGCTGTAGCATCTTAACTTTGTTCCTCCCCAGCTCCCCCACTCCTGTACTGCCTGGCTTGGCTGACACCAGCAGGCAGGAACAGGGCTCAGAGGCATGGGGTGGTGGTGGTGGGGTGGAATACCCCTGCCTTTTGGCCTTCCCCCCACCCACTGTGTAGACCCTGGCTGGGGGGGCCATGGCAGGGGGGCTCAGTTCCCCCCTTTGCCTCCCCCACTGCATGGTGTCAGGTGGATGGGGCTCTAGTCTATGCTAGCATGGTAGGGGACACCGAGCAGAAGCAGTCCTGCCCACTGGGCACTACAGGGTCAGACTCCATCTCCCAGACTGCTGCTCAATGGTGGGTGCATGGGCGAGCAGAGCCGATTCTGCCCAGCATCCCCCACTGCGCCAGCTACAAAGAAATCTATCACTAATAACATCTAACTGTATATAATACACTGCTTCCTCTTCATGATCCAGCTGGTTGGTCAAAATTCATGGTCCCGAATGTTGTTTTGGTTAAAAGGAGAAACTAAAGACGGGGCTAGGTTTCTTTGATATAACCCTATTTATTTAGAAAGAACACACTCAGTCTTACTTTCAAAAACACAAGTGTAAAATCATATAGGACACAGAACTGTGAGCAAAGAAACCAAGTGACTTCACCTGACTACATGTTACCTCTCCAGCTTTTTCCTCAAAGCCTAGTTCCCAGTCCTCATGCAGGCTGAATCACTTGCTTTTTGCTTTCTCTCCATAGTGTTTTCTTGCTGCTTTTCTCACACTCAAAACCCCTGAACTACAGCAGCAGCCAAAGAAATTCTCCATCCACGTGTCTTTGTTTTGAGTGAAGCCATGTGTTTGTATTCTGTGTGGGAACTGTTACTGTTTCAGCTTTCTGGCTCTATAAAAGGAACTTCCATTATTTTCTTTAGATTTTTTCCCCAGAGGCAGAGTGGTTGTTGTATGCACCAGTTTCAACAAGGTGTAACACAACCTGTAGCAGTACTTTCCATTTGTGCACTTCTGCAGCTCTTCAGAGAATTCTCGTAAAAAGCTAATTGAAGGGGGAAATGAATTAAACAGGGAATTTTCCACGTGACCCCATAAAATCTAGTCTCAAATAGGGCAGAAGGGAACTGTACACCTCAGAAAATCTCTACAATGAGAAGCTGTAAGTTATCACCAAAAACAGGTGCCTCCACTAGCACACCTGCTAACAGAAGCATACTTTCAATTTGTTGCCCTATAAATTGAATTATATTATATAAAATTAAGCCACACAGAAATGTTGAGGCTTAATTAATGTTTGCAAAGTGCTTTGGATCTATGGATAAGAGGATGCCACAAAACTAAAATATTTTACAAAATTATGAAGCAGCCTAATCCTATTAAAAGATGCTACTTGAGCTTGTATAAACAAGGAACTATTTTGCCAACATAGATTTTAGGGGCATGATCTAGCCTAAATGGTCTGCGTGTCTACCATTACTTCCTTCCTGATGTATACAAAAGGAGAGATATGAGCTCTCTGCTTTGCTGTTTTACCATTTCCTCAAAGATGTGGAATGGGCAGAACTCTGTGCTGTCTGAGATCCATCATGGCTGCTCTGGCTATACATTCTTTAAACTTAATCAAAAACACTTGGAAAAGTTAATACAATTTTATAATTGTATAACCATACAATTAATATGCTGCAACTTCCTGCCTTCTCATACAGCACAAGTAGCAAAAAGCAGGTACCAGGTACTCCTACAGAGAGAGGTTGCGAAGTTGATATGGAGGCATCTGGCCTCCTCCACACAGATAACAGAAACATCCTCAGGATTCAGAGACCAAATAATTGACTCTTGCAAATGGAAGGGAAATCTTGCTCTTTTTAATATGAGAAGATTTTGAGAAAAAAAACTTAGCAACAAGAAACTCACTGAGTTTTCCTTCCTCGCTTATTATTTAATGATTAATTTATGTTCAGTAGTGCTTTTAACATGCTAGAGGGCTTTCAGAGAAGAAATCATGAACCCATGAATCCCCTAGGATATCATTTTTGGTCAGCCATCCTTGGCTCACAAAGCCTAAGAAATTAGTTCACGGATCACTAAATCGTAGGTGGTCATAGTTCATATCATCCATACTGTGGCACAACATTTGAGCCTCACTTCTCAATCATCAAAATCAGTGCTTTAAACCACAACTGAATATTTTGTAATGTTATTCTTGTTATATTTCAACCTAAGAACTCAATGTGCCCAGATTAAAACCTTGAATCTAGGCACACCTGCAGCACTGGTCATTGAGCACAGTGATAATCATACTTAAAGATGCTTGAGCTTTATCATCCCCAAAGCAGTCACTTTCAGAAGCTGCAATTCTGTCCCACTTTTGTCTCATTTTCTGTTGCCTAGTGGGGATTTGTCAGGGCTATTATCAGCCCAATGTCAAATGATATTAAGTTCCTAAGCAAGAACTACACCTGAATTATTTATAAACATAACCATTAGGCACTGGCAGACAGCAAACATAATTAATTCATTGACTATTATTAGAGAATAAGAGATCTCTGTATTCTGCACCTGTTGCAGCACCCAGATCAATTTCAAGAAAAGTACAGATAGGAATATATAAATTCTGGCATCTATAGCTACAAACCAACAATTTCTTACAAAGTCACTCACATTGTTTTCTTTGTTTTTGTTATTCTGAAGGAGAGTGATAACACAGTTATGGATGAAGAAGGCTAGTGTCAGAACTCCTGTAAACTGAGGAAACAGAATTCTAAATTCTGCAGGAAAAAAGGAAAATATCAGTGTTATTTGCAACAGTGGAATAAACGACAGGTACCAAAATGCAACAAACATTAAGAGTTAAAATGTATTGCTTGATTACAGGACAACAGGTGTTTCCATACAGGACCAGGACAGTATCCAGTTCGTGACAGTGGCCTGGACCAAATGCTTAGACAGCAAGTGTAAAAACCTTGCAATAAAACAGCGAATCTAGAACTTGTCTTCACAAGAAAAGGTTCTCCTTAACCTTTAGTAGTTGGATATTGTTTTGCTATTCCCCACTTTGCACAATATTAAAAAAAAAAAGCTTTTATTTTTCTAACAATATAATTCCATGGGCAACCTAAGGCCTTGACAAGTCAGCTATTTGAAGAGATACTCTGGCTGCAAGCAAACAGATGTCAACTTTGTGATACTGTAATTTTTGTTTATAGCAGCACAAAAGCTAAGTGAATTTTTGTGGCACCAACAAAGGTACTAACAGTTTGTGCCACCCTCTTGCACTTGGTGTCTGTTCACTTAAGGGACAGCGTGGGTTGCTGCACTCTCTTGCTACCCCAAGTAGAAACCCCCTGGACCTCAGGGGCCCAATCCTGGGATAAAAATGGCTTGGGTGCCCAGGTCTGGCTTAGGCCAAGAGCCTGCAAGCAGGAAAACCCCTGATTGCAGATACCCCGCAATCTCATATTAGGGAATGGGGCAATCCTCTAGCAGGGCGGAGGTGGAGGCAGGGAGAGAAAGCACACTGAGCACCAATGTGCCCATCATGCTGCTGCCCCTGGGTCACGGGCCATGTGCAAGCAGCAGGAAAAGCTCGCAGGGGAGCTCCCCACAGGGAATTATTCACCCAGCATGCATCTGCAAATGCCCCCATTTGCACACCACAGTGGGGAATCATTCCTTCAACACGGGTCTGCAAGCACAGAGGCAGGGAGCTGCCCTAGGAGTTTCTCCCTCTGCTTGTATGTGAACCTTAAGCCAAAGGCAGCAGCATAACAGGGATGCTGCCACCTAGTGCACTTTTCTCACTGACAACCCAGGATCAGGGCATCATGTACAAGCAGATGGGGAAGCTCTAAGAGAGCTCCCAACTCCTACTTAAATCTCATACTGGGGGATTCCTCTATGCCCCAACATGAGGACACGTCTACAATGTCAGTTCTCCACTTGTAGATGTGTGCCACAAGTTGGGATGGTGGACCAGGGGCCCTTCTCTCTCAGGATTGCGTTCCTGAAGTCCTGGAAGAGGCGGGGGATCAACCCTGGGGGATCACAGCCCCAGCAATGTCTGTTAGAAGTTCATGAAGCAGACCAGCTGTGCCATGACATATTGTGCACCAAAGAGGATGTCTGTTTTTAGCCCATGTCTGTAGCAGCTTCTTGCTATCTAAGTCCTTCTCATTGGTCATTCTAGACAGCATTACTAAGTTCCCCTCCAAGGAAAAGAGGTGACACCTGTGGGTGTTCTAAGAGGAGATCCAAATGGATGCTTTATAATAAAGGACTCAGATATATTCCCCAAAATACTGTCCTTTTGTGGAGGTTATAAAGAACACTATATAACCAGCATCTTTACCCTCCTGGGCCCTGCACGGCATGCATGTCTTCTCTTCCAGGTTGGCTGATCTCGTACAGCGA